ACATCTAGACACAAACCATAACAAATAGGAACCGTACTCATTCTGGTCTGGCTCTGGGGAGGTGTACAGCTTTTAAGATAAAGGCTCTCATTTGACTGGTGTGATTGGGACGTTCCTTTGTGCATCCATTTACCCCGTGTTTACCAAGTCAGGTGCTATGCCAGGCAGGGAAGACCTAATCCCTGCAGTGCACAGGGTAGCAAGGGAGACAGTCAAAGAAAAGGGACCCCCTACAAGCTGGGCACAAGGTCCTTTCAGGCACAAAGCAACAAGGGGCCGAGGGGAAATGTTCTCGATGGTGGCATACGGGGACTTTCAGAGCCAGGGGAGCAGTACTCGGGCGTGCACAGAGCAGCTTTGAGATTTCTCTCGGGCGCTGCCCTGGAGCCAGCAGCTGAGGGGAAGGCCGGCGGGTTTGGGTGCAGAAAGTCCGGCTAGGGGGAAGGGAAGTTGGGCGGGAGCGGGAGGGAGAACAGAAAACGGACGAAGTGGGGTTGGCGCCGCACGCCAGTGTTTGCTGCCCCCTGGTGGTCACAGGGAATGTTCGGCTCCAGACTTGGAGCTGCCCGCTACCCTCACCCTAAGCAGCCTCAATTTGCGCCCCAAATTCCAGCGTGCGGAAACCTGTCTGAAACCTGGCCGTCATCCTAGACTACTTCTCCAGCCAAACAGTCGCCAGCTCCTCGCCCACACCGTCTCCCAGTGTAACCTTTTCTGCGCCCCCAGTGCCACTTCTGTGCTTCGTATATAAAACCACTTAACAGCACTCAGCGTGTTACACGCCGGGCACCACGAGAACTGAACACGCCTGGGCCGCGTGGGCGTCGGGCGGCGTGGGGTGCAGTCCCTTCGCGGGTCGCGAGCGGCGGGACCCGCGGCCCCGCAGCCAGAGTGAGGTGCACAAAATGCGGCCCGGCTGCCCGCTGCCGAAAGCCGCCTGCGCTCGCCAGGGCCCACGGGTGCGGTCGAAGCCCAGATTCGCCAGCGAAGGGTGTCGTCCGCGCAGGAGAGCCGCGCCACGCGGGCGCGCGTCCCCGCAACAGGTAGCCCCGCCCTCCCGCCTTCGCGGCCACACCCCTCCTCCAGGCGCACCCCGTGCCCCGCCCCCGGCGTCAGGGCGAAGCGGCACTCGCGCTCCGCAGGCCGCACGCCTGTGTGTTACAGCCTTGACTACAGCTGGGGGATGGAGGGTTCCCCACCTTCTTTTTTTCTGAGGCCTTGGTTTCAAGTTCAGAGAGGTTCAGAAGTAGAAAGAGTAGAAGGAAACGTGCTGAAGGGGAGGTTTACTTAACATGTCGCCTGTCTCCCTCCCCGTCAGCCTGGGGCTTGCTGTTGGGACACCAGCCTGCAGCCTGGAAGTGCCCCTTTGCAGTTGGCCCCTTCGTGCTAGGTCTGAACATCGCTTTTTCTAGGCTCTATGGGAGTGATGAGGCAGGAAGTTCATGGGAGTGGGGCTTTGTCCGGTTTCTTTTCCTATTGCTGTGGGCCTGCAGGACCAGTGTGTGGAGATCACTGAGGAGTCCAAGGCTCTCCTGGAGGAATACAACAAAACTGTATCCTTTTTGCTCAGCCTAGTGGGTGCTGTCCCCAAGCTCTGTCCTTTGTGTCACACCTCTAGCATCTCATCCCGTCCCATCCCAACCAACCTGTCTATTCCTTGCTCCCCCGCCCCACCCCTTTTGGCAGACGTAAGAAAGTCTTTTCTGTTCTCACCTTGACTGTAACTAGACGATGCTTCTCTCTAAGCAGTTCGTGCAGTGGGATGAGCTACTTTGCCAGCTAGAGGCTGCCAAGCAAGTGAAGCCGGCAGAAGAGTGACAGCTACTCCCATCCCAGAGCAGCCAGGCTCCTGCGCCCCGTGCCAGTCTGTCAAGGCAAAGAAGGTTTTGTATTTATTGGATCCTGGAATCACTTGTCTGCATTCAGGTGGGGCTCTGAGGTCAGAGATCCAATTACCTGGAAATTGTGATTTGTAAATGCCCTCTTCCATCAGTGTATTTATCCCAGTGACAATAAACTATAGGGATCACTGGAGAAGTGCGCTGGCTTCCTGGTCACTGGCGACCTTGATGGTAAAGAGCTGCCAGCCTGCCCATTGACTGGAGTAGTGTCTTGGTTCCTTTTCTCTCGTTGCTAAGACAAAATACCTGACACCCAAAATTAAGGAAGGAAAGGTTTATTTTGCTTACAGTTTGTGGAGGTTTCAGTCCATACTCCAAGGCAGGGTGGCACATGGCAGAGGGCAAACATTCATGACGGTGGAAGACAGCAAAAGCAACAAGAGCAAAAGGGAGGAACTGCAGCAAGCAGCTTCTTTCTCCCTTACACACGTAAACTATCTGCCCCAGGGCGGGTGTAGCACTCGCACCCATAATCCCAGCATTGGACCACGGATCAATCATAAATTCTAAAAGCCTGCCCCATGACTGGGTGAGGCTTTGGGGG